TTTGCCTAGCTGAGGTGTAACATATATAGAGATGACATGAATACTTTTTAATTCAAAACGACACATTTCCGCTTGGCTATATATATATGACATGTGTACTTTTAAATTCCAAATGATACATTCCCGCCTAATTCGAAAACGTGCCTGGCTGAAATTTTACACATATATAGATGATATGAGTACTTTAATTCAAAACGACACATGTCCGCCTATTTTTGAAAACGTGCCTGGCTGAAATGTTACATATATATGGGCACGAGTACTTTTTAATTCAAAACGACACATTTCCGCCTAATTTTCTGTCCGAAATGTTACATACGTATATATAGGTGACATGAGTATTTGGAAAAAGGTTGAAAAGTGTAATGTGTGATTGTATAATACTGATTTCAGTAAGTCAGTTGAGCATAAAACTGTCATTTTAGGGGTTGAAATAGATCTGGGAGTTGTCAATACCGGACGGCCTATAATGCATGACTGGAATATTTTTAACATACATTTCTGACAGATTTCAGAAATAAATCAGTAGCTTAATTGAGGCCGAAATTGTTTAGTTCTACCTGTGAAGTATTGGTTCTCTTTATCTTCTGTTATTTTGACATCATAATTATCCCACTAAGAGTTAATACTAATTAAGTTAACTTCTTCATCGGATTTTTGTAATAAATCTTCCGAATACCATATAGCACTGGTTCTAGTACCCGGGATCTTTTACCAGAACGCCTGAAATTACTGTGTGAGGGGGTACTATACTAGTACTAGGGGAGGATACTGTACCAGGGAGTAGTTTTTTTACAATTTCATTGGTTGATATACAAATTTGACCAATGTAATTGCAAGAATCAGGTCACGTTCTACTCCGCTTTAGCCATCCTCTAATTTTGGTAGTGATTTTCTTGCAATCGTATATTAGTGGAGTGCACGAGAAAAGTTAATCATAATAATAAATATAATAAATACTATAAACCGGTTAAATACCCCGGATACTTTACTAGTATAAGACCCGGTACTAATCAAGGGGGGTACTAGAACCAGTGCTATGGTAGTTTTTTTTCCAGGTGAATTTATCTTACTGTTGGTTACTTTGTCTGGTCTTGTTGCAGCCTGCCCCAATTTAAAGGTACACTTCAAGTTTGCACAAACTAGCTTTTATGTTTTGTGAACCAGACGCTCGTTTGCTCATAGTGTAAGCCAAGAGTGAAGCCAAAGTCCTGCTAAATGTCACCGCCACAGTCTGCCCACATTAATGCACATTTGTCCACTATTTCTTTTTATAATATTAGTAAATATTATTAATATTATTTTATTTTATTTTATTTTATTTTATTTTATTTTACTTTATTTTATTTTATTTATTTCTATCTTCGTCTACCGATGGAATTTTGTTTGATAATTTTTTAAATTTTGCCACAAAGAAACCGTCCATGTTATGAACATGCGGATAATAGCGCCTCGTAAGACTCAAAGCGGGAGAAAATATCTTGCCTCGATACCTGAACGTCAGACAGTTATAAGAAGATGTTCACAATATTAATTTTTCTAATCAGATCATTTCTACTTACTTTGTAAAACCTTCTCTACCAAACTCCAACCCAGTTGGTACCAATTTTACATTTGGTCTTTTCTTTAGTGCATAGAATACGACCTGTTCATTTTCTTCTATTGTAACCGAACAAGTTGAATAGACTATGTAGCCACCTGTCGGCGATTTTGCATCCACAGAGTCAATAGCAGCCAGAATTAATTGCTTTTGTAAATGCGGTAGAACCATAAAATCTTTCTCTGTCTAAAATATCAAAAGGTATTAGAATAGAGGGACACAGGCATAATGCTATAAAATATCACGAATCGGTATATGCAAACGAACCTTATTTATCTTGACTCCCGGATCCTTTGATATAACACCAGTACCGCTACATGGGGCATCCAACAATACACGATCAAACCCACCAATAACGCCGGGAAATTCTCTGCCGTCATAATTGCACACTACGGTATTTCTCACGCCCAATCTATGTATATTTGCCACCAGGGCTTTCAATCTATCCTTACTGGCATCGTTGGCAAATATCATTCCAGAATTTTTCATTAATGCCGATACATATGCCGTTTTGCCACCAGGTGCTGCAGCCATATCCAGAATCTTTTCATTTTCTTGTGGAGCAAGGGCCATTACTGGCAAAAATGAAGAAGCTGATTGAAGTATATAATGACCTGCCAAATATTCGGGTGTTGCACCTGACAAGGAAATAAATAATGTCGCTTAATACGAACATGCAATCAATTTGAGCAAAGATGGATGGCTCGGTTCGTTACCAATTGGTACTGAAGAATCAAATACTGTCAGTCCGACCTTTGACCATTTTCCGATTGGCTCGAGATTTACTCCTCGATTTATAAGAGCCTAAGTCATGTCATATATACAAATCGCTAATTAGTAGAAGCAAGATAATCGGAAACATCACATTGGCATAATCCTTTACCTGCGCCAGATCTCTACGCCGAGTCCTTATTGTATTTGTACGAATAGTGGTTGGTCTCGCTATTTCATTTGCTTCAAAAAATTCGATTGCCTGTAATGATAGTAATATAATGGTAATGTTAAAAGACAAGTTCACATAGCGTAACGTATGCAAAAAAAAAAGCACAGTATATTAACAATATCCTTGCCTCGGACACGGAGAATAAATGGAACAATTTCTCAGCCATAAATTCCGAGTATCCATAATATATTGCAATATCTTTGGTCAGCTGAGAGATGTATTCAGCGCGCCCTCTAAAATAAAAAATAAGCTATATCGTTTTAGAAACAATCCGACATTGTGAATGTGCGTTTACCAGTTTGATGCACTTTACCTTTCATGATCACCTAATTCTTTAAAGTTATTCAGAGTGCGTATGATGCCTTGAATTCTTTGGTGAACGACATGTAAATCAGCAGCCGTTGGTTCATTTTCGCTCTCTTGCCCGCTGGGTAGAACAAACATCTCGGTCTGTCTCATATTAGCTTGAAGTTCCGCTTCTGCCAACGCAGCATCGCGCTTTTGCTTTGCCTCGAGCCTCTCAGACTTCATCACAATCTTTAATTGTGAAGAGTATATGCCATTCATTATACGTAAGAATGTTGTATGGTGAATAGTATTTAATCAAGTAAACCTTGACTTACGTCTTCCCCATCACTACTATCGCTGTCGTTTTCACTTTCGCTTTCATTTTCACTTTCGCTTTTATTTCGACTTGATTTTTTGTTCGCGTTATTAACCGCATTCTTGGTCGTATTTTTAATTCCTTCCTTTTCAGTTAAATTAATGCTTTCATCATCAGTTGAATCAAATAAATCGGGGTTTTCTCCATTGTTCTCAACCTCCTCGTCGTCTACGGACATCTCGTCTGTAGAGAGTTCATCACAATCGCTTGTTCCCATGTTTCCCGTTGTGACAATTAGAGAAAATTTTTGCGATCAAAATTTTCCCAACTTTTCAAATTAAGGTTTCACACACTAAAGTGCTAATAGATGACATCATTATTATAGCATGGGGATTTTGATTAAACTTTGCCTAATATTTATAACAAGCAAGGATAGTTCTTCATCGGGGAACAAGGAATGAACGCAGTCTTTTTAGAATCGGGCGAGCAACTCTAACAGATTCCCAAATTATTCTCGCATTCGTATTATCTGTTAAAATGTGTCGGCAAACTGCACTGTTCGCGTTCCCGGCAAGTTATGCATCATAGCAGAATTGATACAGTCGTTGTTCTTTTGTGAAAGCTCTACGTAGGAGCCAGCTCTCCTTAATTATCAATATTACCAAGAAACATTGGCTGACATCCCGGGTGCTTTAGCAGATGGAGAATAACATAATGGCGAGACAAAAATATTGATGACTTGGATCGGTTTATAGTGGGGGTGTTCAGATAACGTCCCATCCAAAGTAGTCTTGTAGAATCGATGCCTTAGTGCTATCAACTTGTAATCTCGAAGGATTAATGATTGATATATTGTTGGTAAAGCGAGCGTCAATATGGCTTCGTTTCTAGGGTATTATTATGTCCGAGACTGCTGTGAAAAGTAAACCGACACTTGCGCAGCAAATCGTACAATATCTTAAGGGAGAAATTGATCATCTTCACCTCCAATCTACAAGAGCAAGTTATTATATATATTTTTGTTTGTGATTTCTAGTCTTTGTTTTCGAATAAGATAGAATTAGGTCAAGATCATTTGTTCGCGTTCCCATATATTACTTTTACGTACATTCGTATCTATTAACCCTGCAATCTTATTTTCATGCAACTTGTTAGTTCGCTAGTCAGTTTCAACGTCTAGCGATATTTCTCGCATTAAGGTTGTAACGATACTCTGCACGCCACAATGGTTTCGACCAGCTATTCCGGGATTAAACGGGATGTCCTCTTCCTCGTCTGTCTCGACTTCTCCATCAACATTTCATTACTATCACCAATCTCATTATCGATGTGTCAGGCTCACCTTCAAATAATCTACCTATTAAAAAACTAGTCGCTATTCACGTTAATTACGTGCCACGCAACAAAGATATATTTCTTAAAATTGGATCTCATTAGTAATCAATAAAGGTTTGCAAAATGTTTCGGAATCAAATAGAAATGATATCTTCATTAACCATATAACAACCTTTGCATAGTGATAGCGATAAAACTTGAGATTAAGTCAAGTCTCACTTTTTTGGTTCGTTTCAATAATATACTCGATGATATATTTATTATTAGGTGATTATGATGTCAGTAATAGTGAATGAAGCAATTTTAATTTTAAGCACAGATTATTGTTTACGTGATATCACGTCAATATAAACAAATAAACTTTCGCAGCAGTAATATCTCACAACTTTGGTAAACTTTTTACAAGCCACAGAATGTCAATTTTTCTGTCTCTGCGGTTTGGCACTTAAGGGAAATTCATAGTAATATTATAGATACAAGACCAATGACAGCAGAATGTGCAGAATGTAAAATAAACCCAGTACATGTAAACTCATTCACTGGGCAGGCAGCAGAGTTTTGCTCGAACAGGTGTCGCAGAGAGGCTGTAAAGAAAGGTACGTCACCTCTTCTCCTGCTACTTCACCCAACAAGATTATCGGTTAATCGCCATTCTATCCAAAACACCAACAGGACTAGTTGAACCGTGCCTGCATTGCAAAATAATGCCACGTCTATTACTCTCAAATGACCAAAGGCTAACCTACTGTGGTAAGACCTGTAAAGACAAAGCAGAAACTGGAGGCGTCATTCGTCGCCGGCAGCCAGTTTCGCAAGTCCCACCTACACAACGACACTCTGCACCTGCATTGAGCCAACATGAACAAATAATATTATCAACGCCGTCAAAATATAATGTTATGCATAATAACCAGACTACCTTGTCGTTGGGCAGCGCTTCCACAAGTGCAAGTCAACAGTTGCCAATGGTAGAAACAGGGAGGAATCATTTGCGTAAATTACGGCCATTACAGGAAGATCGCACAACGGAGGATAAACCAACGTGTCGGGTTTGTTTAGCAAAGCCGTGTTGGAAGGATAGCAAAAGAGGAACTTATTCTCCTTACTGTTCACGGACATGTAAAGAGAAGGCGCAAGGTAGTTATTGAGTAGATCATCTCTTCCATATCACGCGATCTAACAATTCTATAATGCGTATTAAGGTGACATTTCTTCCTCGTCTTTGGTTTCTGTACAGCCTCTGTATCCGGATCAACCTACCATTACGAATTATACTTCATTCACGCAATCACATTTATGCTCCGAGATCAATGTTCCACTCGATGTCAATCGCCAAAGTAATCGTCGCCCGAACTTACCGCCGTTGCCACTCCGCTCAGCAGCGGATCCACACCAACCCCCTGGTAATCCGTGCAATCCATTTGATGAGCCGCCACCCTATTGGGAAGCGCCGCCGGCATATGACCCTGGGCCTGATGCTCATAAATATCATACAGGCGAGAAGTCGACAAGAGATGATAGGTACAACCAAGACGATCCATACGATTTTAGGAAATATTCTAATAAGGGTTAAGAAGGAGAGTAGTAGTAGTGCCAGTATATTCGGTAGTTGAGCAATCATTTACTTTACTAATCATTCCAAATTACGGTTGATATTTGTGTTGGCTGTTTCATTTACATTATTACTATAATACGATTCAATAAGTTAC